AAAATAATATTTGCGTAAAGAAAAAAGACAAAGTCCAGATATATACCAAAAGAGTCGATTGCGCGGCCAACCCAATTGCAACCAGATCAGGCTCCCTCGAAAAGCTGCCTTGTCAGCAGGCAGCGAAACAGACGTCGCCAAGCTGAGTGCAACCGCTGGATCTTTGATCACCGAAGCATCGCAAGAGATCGGCGTATTTTTTTATCTTGGGCTGAATAACAAAAGGCACAATCACATCCGACTTATCCAAGCGAGGTCGTTTGTCGGCACGGTCTTCTTCTGAGCAGGCATCGACATTGGCAGGGCGTCTCTCCAATCTTTGCTCAGCCTGTACACTTGCCTGCACAAAAGGTTCCACCTCGGCACTTCCATTCTTTGTCGTCCCCTCGATAACAGGCAAGGAGGACTAGGATGAGATTCGGCAATCCGAATCTCTTCCGCCCTTCGCCGCGCGGCCAGCCTTTCCGCGTTCACCTTCTTGGCAAGTTTAGTTAGGCTCAACCCGGCCATATCTTCTGGGAACGCGCCGGGAAGGTCTTCTAGACCGTGAAAAATATCGTCAAGCGCACAGTCTTCTCGACCCGGAGTGGACGGAGGATCAGCCGAATTGAGGCCGGCTTCTTCAAATGCTGACTTCAAAGCCTCGTCAACCTCAGTTTCGAATTGGTCTGACTCGGCGGAGTCTGCTACTTCCGGCCGCTCCGAATCTGATCCCTCGCACCCGATTTGCCTCAAATTTCTGAAATCAGTCAAGATAAGGGCGGTAAAAAACTCCTCACCCTCCGAAATTGTGATATTTTTCTACGCCGAAAAGGTTGTATCAGTCGGGTTGTAGCGGAGCAGAACGTGGGCCGCCCTCCCTTGCTTCTGAAGACTCCGTCGGCCGAAATATTTGAGCGCAGTTTTGATTTCCAAAAGGATGGCGTCGTCTGTCGAGGTCAGCACTTTCTTCAAATCGTTTCCTGCAAAAGCAAAACCATGAAGTCCCGAAAATAAAGCTTTATAAACATAAAAAGTAAACAAATAAAAGCAAACATTCGGCCACCTGGTTCGCCCCTCCGTCTAGGAATACGATCAAGGCGATCCTCGCCTTCGCCGAATTCCCAGTTTCCTTGGACGACGACCATAACATCATCGACTCGCTTCCCAGAGCTGGAAAGCATAGTCACTAGTTGATGCTCGGTGTCTTTGGCCCCTAAGGAAATAACGCTTGTGTCGACCAGAGGACTTGGCTAAGGCGTAGCAATGCCGAATAGCGGGAATACCAAGGTTAAGCCTAAGGCGACGGTTTAGCGCGATATTCCCCATTACGATCCTAAAGAAGTTGACGTTGGGTTGGGAAGGGATTAACCCCCAGTGGCAAAGCACGGCCCTAAGGAGTGGGTGAAGGGGGAAGCGGACCCCACCCTCTGCGATTGATAGAAGAGGGAAAACGATCGTGGTTTTGTCAACCCTCTCCATATCGAGGGTGCCGTCTGTTATGAATGACAGATGGGCGTCATCAGGAATGGAAAAATGGCGTCGGAAACCAGAAATTCGATGCGGTGAAAGGAGATTTTTTAGATGATTCGCCATTTCCCTCAGCCAAAAGGATTATGATAAGTCAAAAAGAAAAAAAAAAAAGTAGAGGAGGAAAGAACTTACAAGAGGCGAAGGAGATAGAGCAGAGTAGGAAGTTGCAAAGGTAGTATGGAAGGCAATCCAGCGACAAGTGTCTAAAAGCGTGTATGCGTTTGAAAAGACGTCGAAATTTTAAATCACAATAAATAGAAGTGTATGAAGAGGCGGGAAGTTGAAATGATAACCGAGAAGCATGTGTATAAACATTTGCGTTGGGAAACGGTCAGTCGCCGAATTTCGACTCTGACTCTTCGAGTTCAAAACCAAACACTCCAGCCAACTGTCGATAATGGAGTGCTTGGGGGGCAATTGTGGGGGCCGATTATTGGGAGTCATAGAGATTCCGGATAATCAAACCTAGGTGAGTCGATATTCCGAAGCATTCGGCAAAGGGCTCGAAAGCTCAAATCCAACCCTACTCAGCCAAATGACCGATCAAGCAAGGGGCCGAGTGAAGATCGGACAGTCATAAAATGTGCCGAATACGAGGTGGGAAAGGGATCTAATCCTGAGGCCCAAAGAAGAAAAGATATAAATAGGAAAAACATCAGGCAGAAAGAGGTATGTGAGAATTATTGTGCTTAACTTAGAGTACAAGCATCCTTGAGTGTAAATACTAACTTGCCCGTCGGAATGCTAATTCCGGCACTCCCAACCGGAATGTTTATTCTCTTTCAGGTGACCAGAAGAAGATTACGAGCGTTTCCCAGAATTAGAAGAGTATTTCCAAACCACTTCCCCACAGTATATATATATATATATAATCTATTTTTTATGTTATTTTAATCACTTTAATTTAACTAATGTGTATTCTAATCAAAACTTTTCACAATCAATCATGTAGGCGAGAGAATGCGTTTGTTACAATGATGAGCCGTTTGTTATATAAATAAAAAAATTTGTTAATGCTAAGCAAATTTGTTAAGAATATATTAAATCATCTCAACTATCTCCACTGTTATAGGAGATAGGGAAATCTACAAGGCCTTATTTGTTTCCAAAGTTAGAGGGTGGGACTGGGACTGGGACTAGTAGTGAGGTAAGATTCAAAAAATTACCTTTATTTTGGAAAGTGACTATGGAATTAAGAATTCTATTGGACTATGAAAGGCCTCTAAGGAAGGGACTAGCAATCCCATGGAACAGGTGGTATTGGGGAGCTTTTATTTGCACATTTCCAATCCCCTCTTTACACACATTTAATAAAAATTATTTTTATTATAATTTTATTTTCAAGTGAAATTACTATTATGAATATTAAATAAACTCATTCGGAAGTTGAATGTCGAAAAAATAAAAAAAATTTAGAATTCTACTTCCGAACAAGTTATTTATTTTCGGAATGCTACTTCCGAATCAATTGTTTATTTTCGAAAATTTACTTTCAAACCAATTATTTATTGAAACAGAGGTGTAAAGAGGGGAATGGGTGTGTGTAAATAGAAACTCCCGTGGTATTGATATCTAATCCCATACGATTAGAGGTAAAAATACTATTTTGTCCCTCATTTTATATTTATACCAAAAAAATATATATCAACATAAAATAATATAGTACAAAAATATAATTTTTAATATTAAAATATATCAAAAACACCATAGGGTATGTATGGTATTTCATATAGTTAATACTCTCACTAAAATATATAACAAATAAACATAATTTTTCTTAGTCTCTTCATAATATGACTCATGTAATATTAAACACAAATAATTGAGTAAAATTTTATTGATAGTTGGATTCTTTAATATATAGTTACCCCAAAAAAAAAAAAGATAATAATATTGAGTAAAAATTTATTGATAGTTGGATTCATTAATATTAATAAATAAATAAATAAACAAATAAATAACATTGAGTAAAAAAAAAATTGATAGTTGGATTCTTTAATATTAAAAAAAAAAAATTAAAAAAGAAGAAGAGTAACATTGAGTAAAAATTTATTTATTCTTTAGTTGGTATAAGTCCAAATTTGATAATAACGTAAAGGGTATTTGTGAAATTTTATATGATTAATCTTACTCCTATTTTTCGAAATAAACATGAACTATTACTAGTCTACTAGTTATCAAACAAACACAATTTTTCTTAATCCTTTCACTAGCAATTCTCTCAATAACAATTCCATCAATTCTATCTCTGAAAACAAACGGGCTCTAAATGTAATCATGTTGAAGTATCCTTTTCTCCAATTCTCTCTATTTCAAAATATTTCAACATTATAAAATTTTCAAGTAGAGTTTATTTATATTTTAAATATTTTTTTTATCATAAAACTAAATGCATTTATTTTTAAATAAAATTTTGAGTTTTTTTTTTAAATTTTTAAATGCCCTGTATTTTTATAATAAATATAAAAAATTATATGCCCTTTATTTTTTTAAGATTCATTTTCCTTTAACTTTTTTAATTTTTAGATTCATTTTTCTTTCTTTTTTTTTTTTTTAAAATTCACTTATCTTAATTTTTATTTTTTTAGATTCATTTTTTTACACCATATAATTTAAGGATAAAGATTGGTAGCTCGAAAATTTAAAAATTTACCTTTTTAATCTTTTAATGTTTAAAATGATGTCATTTTAGATATTAAGTTTTTTTTTTTTCTTTTTATTCTTCCATTTTCGAAGCTTTTCGAGCTCAAACACAGACGGGGAAGAGGGAGAGGGAGAGAGAGAGAGGGAAAGCGGAGAGGAGAGAGGGAGACACACACACACAGAGGCCCCCCTGCATTTCGACCGACCGTCCAATCGTCGCAGCTCCGCCATCGTCGCAGCTCAGAGATGGATCGTTGCAACTCCAGTCCCTTCTTCTTCCTCCTCCTTCCCTCTCTTCTTCTTCTTCCCTTCTTCCTCTTCTTCTTTCTTCTTCTCTGCTTTCTTTCTTCTTCTTCGTCTCTTCTGATTTTCTGATTGAAAAAAAAAAAAAAAAAATTAAAACGACGAAACGACGTCGTTTAGGGGGATTCGGAGAGGCTAATTTCGAGCGACGTAGCATTACTGATAATTTAATTATGATTGAAAATAGAGGACTTTTAAAAAAAAAAAAAAATTAAAATGAAATTTCATTTAAAAATAAATGCATTTAGTTTTATGATAAAAATATTTAAAAAATAAATAGACTACATTTGAAAAGTATATAATGTTGAAATAGAAAGAATCGGAGAAAAATGTATTTTAATCTCTAGAAAGATACATTTATAGTTTTTCCTATATTCACTGATAGTAAGTAGTTGAGATGATTTAATGTATTCTTAATAAGTAACAAAACCCATAAACAAATTAAATTTAAACAAAATTTTATTAGTCTGAAGATGCTAGCACATAAGTTTTGCTCCAGATTATGGATTCGAATCCCAGAAACGATATATTCAATACCCGACTTGTAAGGTTCAAATTCCGACATCAATCTATTCAACAACCCCACTACGTAATTTGATGTTTTTAAATGTACCAAAAAATGGAACAACAATTTGTCATAAATTCATTTAACAGAACAATTTTCCTTCTAATCTTACAAAAGAATGGCATAGAAAAACCAACAAATTTTACAAATGAGGTTCAAGAACCACTCATACTCACATCCCCAATTAAGAATTTTCAGCTCCTTTACCCCACAGCAAAAAAACTCTGCAATTCAGGCTGAACAAGCAAAATCAACACTATACATCAATGTATATCATCTTGTCAGGCTGAAGCAAATTGAATCTGAAGTCTACAACACTCAACCTCTTTTAAATATTTTCAACTTGAGAAAATGGATTTGTCTAACTATAATTCTCTTAAAATGGGCCAACCTTTTTTAATAATGTTGTCGATCTTCACATCGATCTGCTTTTGAATCTTAGTTGGACAAAGCTCTGCTGAATAGCTGTTCAGTTTTGCTGCCAGGCTTGAACTCTCAAGCTCAACTTCCGGCAGGTTTCCAATCAGCTGAAGAAGGAACGGGTTTCGTTTTAGCTCAAATTTCTGCAGATATTGTATCATCAGGGCAAGTAGGTCAGTCTCTCGTTAGAAAAGTAAAATATTTCTTCACAAGGAAAAATATAAACTTTAAAATGCTAAATCTAAGATTTCATCAGAATGCCTTGTGTTTATTAAACAACAGGCAAAGGGCGGGCAGCTGTGAAAGCCACAAAACTAAATGAACAGAGTTGAGATTCCACACCACAACTTTCTTTAGTCCTGCCCCACGTGTTTTCGAAAGGGAGACAGCCTAATAAGCACAGAGACCAACACGCCAACACAAAAATGTAGGACACAGCACGTGGAAAAGAAGGATTTATATTTGGCATATATAAGAATAAGCCCTTGATAGAGCTGCGTGGAAAAGAAAGATTTATGTAGCCGACCCCATTTGATGAGATTTAAGGCTTAGTTTGGTTTGATTTAGTTTGGCATATATAAGAATAAACAATTTTAATGTCATATATATATACGAATATTTAGTCCAAATATAACATTTATTAAAATCTAAGTATAAATTTGTGTTGTTTTGCTTTTATCATTGAATTCTAAGTATTTGAGTTGTGTTTTTTTGAATTCTGAAGTAATACAAACCTGAATGTATTTCATGTGTCTAAATAAGACACGTGTTATCCATGTGTCTAAAGCGTATATGAGTTTAGAAAATTCTTTAAAATAGCAAGGCATATTTGTCATGTTATGTCGGTGTCTAACACACCACGCCACCTTCTTACATGTCCATGCTTCTTAGGAGACAACTAATCTCCTTCCAACATTGATTACCAGTTCCTCCTAACAATTGTAAAAACATTCAGATCCGCTCTTCTTGAGACATTTGAAAACAAAACTAGCATTTGACAGAATCACGAAGTACCATGTTTGAAACAAAATCTTAATCAAATCATTTGCTGCTTCATTTTCAATCCAACAACTTCGTTTCTGCTCCCTGAACCTGATTTATTTTTATTTATTTTTTAAACTTTTGTTCTAAAAAAGAGCATGGTTAATGACTTCAGCTATGATTATTTCAGGATTCACTGTTGCTGCCCAAATCTCAGTTGTTTTATCTGTTTCATAATAGGACCACATTAACGAGTTAGTTTTGCTTAGGAATTCCAACCTGTTCACATTAAAGAATACTAAACCTGATGTTCAGGTTCTGCAGGATAAAATGTTCCAAGTTGTTGAATTTGTGTAGTTACGATACTGCTCTTTGACTTAGTCTGCTCTCTTTCTTTGCTGACTGCAGCTAGTCTGGATTCTTCACTTCCATTAGTGAAGATAATAGACCTATAGAGATACAGTAGTCCATTGGGTGAGAATGAGGTTTGACACAAAGAAATTATGAAAAAGAAAATGCTATACAATCCAATTTCTTACCCTATTTTCTCACTTCTAGAGTCCTAGACACAATCTGTGTGTATAGAAATGAGAAAATGGGGTAAGAAATTGGATTATGTAAAGCATTACTCTTGTGGAAATCACCAATTTTACCTGTACTGGCTCCCTACATCAGGACCTTGCCCGAAAACTTGTCTAGAGTCATGACTGGACCAGAAGACCTCCAAAAGTTGCCTGAAATTAACCAGCTTAGGATCATATTCAATCTGCACAAGCAATTGAAGAAAGACATCATTTAAGTTTCCATAAAAGTATCGATGGACAAGAAACATGCCCTTCCCAGTATATGAAGTGGACATAAAGTGCAAACCCAAAAAGCCTATAAAAAATAATAATTAAAAAAAAAAAAAAAACAACTACAGTGCAAAGTAAAATTCAACTCCATGAACCACTCATTTACAAAAGGGTAAAAAATACTGGCTACGGAGAATCAATCAATTTTTCGATATCTAGGTCAACAAAGAAAATAACAGAGAGTTTGATAAAAAGATACTTCAGATCAATTGATAACAAGATTATTGGCACAGTTCCCTATTCAAAAGAAAAATATATTTATTGGCGAAAGTTAGTGGTTAGTTGTTAAATTAACACCTAGGACTTGAACTCCCAACCTCTCTCTGCAAGCACTAATGTCTTGCCACTATGCCACAAGGCCTTGAGCACAGTGCCCCATTCATTAGCATTAACTGATTAAAGCAAAATTATTTTCATCTGAAATTTCATTTAAATTTTAAACAAGAATCCACGATGAAAGATCAATAACCAGCTCCTTGGTACCACCACGGTGGTAGCCTAGCGGGTGGGAGATAACTTCCATTGGATTTCGTGAACAATTGGCTCTGGGTTCGAGTCTACTTGGGGGTGATGCAGTTCCCATCCACCTATGCTCCCAGCTTCTGCTTGCTAGGACCCTAGTGGGGCCAGTCTTGAAGGCGAGCCAGCAGTTCTCCCATGTGCAGTATCCCCATTTTTCTGGGTGTGTCTAGGCCCCTCCTGTCTAGCTCCCCAGCAGGTAGGGGTTACTTCAGTCATGGCCAAGGAAGATTGTAGGTACACGATTCTTCAGTTCACCAAACGCCGCACTCAACCCCACTGTCTTTTCCTACAAGCCTCGCATACCACATGCCAACTCCACATGGCAACACGCGAGCCAATTATCTAGGTTAAGCACCATTGCCAAGCTCAAATTCATTGAGCCCGGTCGCACTTTGGTGCCGCATTACATTAGCCTTAGTCAATTGCTTGGCTTAATAACAATCCCACTGAGCGAGGCCCTCATTCTCGAAGAATCAAGACATGCCACCTATGCTACCTAGGTTGGCAGTAATAGGTACCTTGCTTGGAACCACTGGAGGACTTATAGATTAGAGGCTAGAGTTCAAGGGTTTGTCTGGGTGCTCACGGAGCTGCCCATCGGGATGAGGTGTGCTCAAACCAGTCTGAGAGAGGGACAGACCTTAGCCAAGATGTGGTACCTCAATAGTCAAAGAGCACTAATGTCTTTGACATGCCCAAAATGGGATGTATCATACCTACTCTCTGTCCACATATGATGAATTTTTCATGCCTGCACTAGAGGCTACATGGTTGACCCAGTTTCCATCCATTTTACCTAGCCAAAGGGGGTTAAGCCACCTGTCCTAAATTAAACTGACTCAATCTGGCTCACCACCATATATAATGGGGACTCACCATGCATAAGAGACATTAATATATACTTGAATATCCTTGCTCCTTCAGCACACAAGCCCTCCACTGCCACCTTCTCTCTCTACCAAGACAGTCCTTGACATTCTCTTGTCCCACCTTCGGTGGTGTCTAGCAATCTTCCTAGAAGGCAGTCGTTAGCCAGTTCACTCCCACACAGCATTCTACAAATGTCACTTGTCAAAGATTGAAGTCAACATACATTAATGCCAAGCATGTTCTTTTGAAGTCATTCCTAACAATACCACATGCAAATAGCATACTCGGAGGATTGCCCCATCCATTTTGGGTAAGCAACATCAATAACTCCCAGAAATATGATCTTATTCAAGACCTGATTACAAATAGTAGCATTCGAAAGTTGTTAAGGGTACAACATTTCCTAGACTGACATGTTGAACACAGTAAAGTGATATGATAAATTGCAAAATTGAAATGACTTTCCAAAGGCCCCACTGATAGTAAATGATACAGTGGCAGAGAGAATATAACTGACAAAAATATTAAACGTTTCTTGAAAGTGACATTTTGTCAATTGCAATCAGAGGATTAAAATGTCATCAACCACATTCACCTTAAGAATTGTGATAATAAGAATGCACAAATTCTCGAAGTATAGCCAAAATAATGCAACTTGGCCCTGTGGGAGGGGGGAACACTAACGCACAACTTGGATAGTATTAAAATCCAGCAACTAGTAATGCCACAATTATTTGTAGTTTATGGGCAAATTCTAAAGAAATAAATAATAAAACACTACTCCCCAGTTTAGTCCCCATATGATGGGGTCTGGAAGTTGCATCTTAAGTACATCGACAACATTGTTTGCAAATCGGTAGTTGTACACTTAGAAAGTATAAATGCCTTATTGGACTAATTAAACAAAGGTGCTCACAGTTTCACCAATCCACCTATGCTAATGTCACGAAGCAAATAAACTTAAACATAACGGATGATACGAGGCCTTACCCCATGCTACCATAGAAAAGAAAGGGTGTCAAAGCGGTAGTCATTTTCTCCATTTGACCTTTTACAGAAGAATAAAAAATCACATAGACTATTGACATGGTTATTCTGTAAAATGGCACTCCATATACACCCTTCAAAGATTTTCATGCCACAGAGCATGGGCTAGTTGCAGTCCCCAATCCAAGAAACTACAAACACGGAACATGGATACAACATGATCCAGGCAAGCCCCACACAACCAATTCAAAATATTTGAACATGGACACAATAAGGACATGGTCACAAATAAGAAGAAATTTTTATATAAATACATCACAAATAATAACTTATTCAATTTTTCTTCTTCTTCTTTTTGTTACACATATTTATAAGTTTTATTACATAAAAAATAATGAGAACTTATTTACTTTTCACATTTTATGTGTTGAAAAAGTAGGAAACGGAAGTAGCGATATCTTTTGTAAGAAACTCTATTCCTAAACACATCGGAAGTAGTAGGCTTTAAGGTTCCTAAAACGAAAATGCCTAAAGAAGGACACAACACAACGGAAAATTATAATTTTAATTGAATTTTTAATTATATATAATTATTATATTAATTACAAAAATAATGAGAGTTATGTTGCCAATTGCTTTAGGCATCTTTTTTTATTTAGGCAAATTACACTTATCTCCCTTGGGTTTTGCACACGATCATCTCTAAACAACACATAAAATTGATTTAGGCTCATGGAAATTGATAGTACCAAAGCAAAAACGAGGCCACCCTTTTTTTTTTTGCCCACTTTATGTCCCTTTTTTTTTTTATTTATTTATTTGAGACATGACTCCACGTGCTCAAATCCTCAAAATATACAATGAACAAACCCTTATATATAATAAATATTTAAAACAAAAACCTAAAATTCTATTAGAAGAAGTTGAGATCATGAGATGGGGGAAAAATGCATGTTTGCCTAAAAAATAATAGAGAGAAATCTCATATGAGAGAGCTCTAGGGCTATAGCCATTGTAAATTTATCTCGCTCCTTTCAAACCTTTTATTCTATTTATAGAGTGAAGCATTGCTTTAAGAGTTTTTCTATAATAACACAATGAATATAGACTCATAAAGTAATTATCCATAATTAACCAGTTAGAATAAAAAAAATATCAAATTCATTGTCACAAGAAGTCAGTTTAAAAAATACATGTCAAAGCTTTCCTTAATAAATACATACATCAAAGCATGAATAGTGAAATGTAATGATTATAATGTAGGAGAGTCATTATATTAAGCCAGTTGTAAAGTCTTTTACCTACACCATATAAAAACTTTTCCAAAATAATGTCTTGTACCATAAAAAAAATCCAAAATTAAGGTGGGAAAAGCGAAATTTTATTGATTATAATGTATGAGAGTAGGTCCTATACACAATACCATATAAAAATCAAGAGGGGTCATTGCAACGAATAGCTTCGCCCCTGACCTTGGCTACTGAGACAGTGGTGCATATGTGACAACAAATCACCTTAAAAAACAAAAAAAGTCAATCTATCACATGGAGAGACAGAGAAAGAGTGAAACCAGTTGCCAATTAAAGACCAGTCACAAGCTTCCAGGTTGGTTCTTCCTCCTCCTCCTTCTTTGTTGGTCACCAAAGCTCAACGTGCAACTGATATTTCTTTTTCTTACTGTGTTGTGTTAGTGTGTGTGTTTGCGTTAGATCGCTAGGGCTCAATCTAATTGAAATAAATTAGGACTAATTCTTCTTCTTTCTCTCTCCCCCTAGATCTCTCTCTATTAGATCACTAGGGCTTGATTCAATTAATGCAAATCAGAGCCAATTTTTTTTCTTCTCTCTCTCCCTCCACACTCACTCTTTTCTTCTTCTTTGATGTGTTTGGGAAGTGTCATGCCAAAAAAAATTTATATATATACTTGTGTTAGATTGCTAGGGCTCAATCTAATTGAAATAAATTAGGACTAATTCTTCTTCTTTCTCTCTCTCCCTAGATCTCTCTCTATTAGATCACTAGGGCTTGATTCAATTAATGCAAATCAGAGCCAATTTTTTTTCTTCTCTCTCTCCCTCCACACTCACTCTTTTCTTCTTCTTTGATGTGTTTGGGAAGTGTCATGCCAAAAAAAATTTATATATATACATATAAATGGACACACGGTTAATGGTTATCTAACGGTTGTCCATGTCCAACGCGTGATGGACATGCATACATCACCCAGGGTACGTGTCAATGTTTCTTAGGATTTAACCCATATTTTGGCATTGTCATGTTTTGAGGTCCAAAACAACTCAAAATGACAAAAAAATACTACTTTGTAATGCCACCTACTTCTCACATTTGCCATCTACATCGATTAGTTGAACTAAAATAAAGAATGGCACAATGAACATTCAACCCATGCAAACAAAAGGAAATCATATTAAAAACTTGTTATTGAACATTAGTTGCTAAGCGGATAGAGAAATTACAGCGGGATTTTTTTATGGGGAGGAGGGGGAGAGGGTTGTCACTATCATTTAGTGGCTTGGATCGGATTTGCACTTTGAAGGAAAATGGGGGTTTGAGAATCCAGCGTTTAATAAAGTTCAATTTGGCTCTTTCGGGGAAATGGTTGTGGCAGTTTGTGGGAGAGAGGGAGCGGTTATGGAGGAAGGCGGTGGTGGCTAAGTATGGTTTGGGGTGGGCAGAGTGGTGTACAGATACAGTGGGGCAGTCTCATGGGCGGAGTTTATGGAAGGGGATTTGGTTAGAGCGGAAGGAGTTTTGGAAACAGGTGAGTTTCAAAGTTTAAGAATTTAATTATTGATGTTCATAAACTTAGCCACTGATCTGAAATCTATCTGCTGGCATGTTTACATACAATTATTCATTGCTTATGGGCCTGGTGATTGCACATCAACCAGCTTTGAGTTTAATCATTTCCACCCAATCAATTAATTCATAATTGAAATTCAACTCAACCTTGTGTCATACAAATGGAATGAACATAATTGAGTGTATATTTTTTTTCATCTATGGTCCCAAATGTTGAAAATTCCAGTATACAAAACTTGAATCTCTTTTTTTCCCCAGAAAGTTCCACAAAAATATGAACCCACACACGTCATTGAACACGGACCATTGCGTATACGTATAGAGAGAGAGAGAGAGAGAGAGAGAGAGAGAGAGAGAGAGAGAGAGAAACCTGTACAGACTCGGCGTGATCACCCAAGCTTCGGTACTCGGGATTGGCTTTAGATCCACCAGCGTAACCAACAGTTGTCCGTACGACTCCATCCAAGCAACCAAAAACGGCTTCAGATCTCCAGAAGCTTCCGAGAGCGAAAACAGCTGATTTAAGGGGCTGTTTGGGTGGGTCAATGGGGACTTGAGAGATCCGATCAGGAAATCTGATGCTTAAAGCCGTTTCCGCCAATAAAATGCTCACAAGAAGAGCAAACCAAACAAGACGACAACAGAGGGCATTGCTCTCCGAGAGCTTCATCGTTGGCCCTCTCTCTCAAACTCTTGAGAGAGAGAGAAAAGAAGGAACGCAGAATATATCCGGGTCGGTCAATTCTCGTGGAATATTCAGAAGAACTAGTCAATAGATCACGTTTCTGCACCGGATCCGAACCTGGAACCCGGAACCCGGAAAGTTTTTTTGGGCCCAAAGAGAGGGTCCAAAAATATGAAATTATGGGAACTGGAGTCACTGTTGTATGCGTTCGTTTCGGGTCTTATTTTAATTATTTATTTTCTCAAAAAATGCCAAGTTAAGTATATTTATAAAAAGTCAAGTTGTACAAATAATGATACATCCTCTATCAAATTACATTTGTAAATAAAGAAAATGAATGATAAGTGTAATTTTAAGTACAAAACTTAATATGAATGTAATTAGATGAAAAAAAGTTATCGATATCCGATCAATTAGATTTTTTTGTAAATATATATTTACTCAAAATTTTTAAAAATAAACTATTTGAATCATTAAAATAGAACTAAAAACAAGCCCCACCAACTCTAACTCCGAAATTGTTATGTTAGATTATCTTAAAAAATGAGTTAAATTTAAAAATTTTAGTTTTTTAAAAAAAATTAATTATAAATATGATAATTATTACAGTTAAACAACTTAGGGTTGGTTTGGAATTTTTTAAAAAAGTGTACTTTTTGACTTATTGGCTTATATGGGTTGGGTTTAGGTTGGGTTTGATGTGATGTGTTAGAGAGTTGATGTGATTTAAATTAGATGATGCGACTTAAATACGGTAGTGACTTTTTAATTTTTTGTATTATTTATGCCAAACCAACCGTTAATACAATCCCACAGTGACAGAAAATTAAAAGTTTTTTCCTACAACGATGCTCTCATATTAGTTTGAGCCACTATGCAATTTTAGATGGCACTTTAACATGAAAAATATGTAATATGAATCTAAATTTCAAAAAAGTCTTAAGGAGTATAAATTTATTTATTTTTCGATCATTCAATAGAAAATCATTTATAATATAAAGAGAATTACATCTAAAAGTTCAGTAAGTAGCCTAACAAAGAGTCCTTATAATGGGGAAGAAACAACCAATCTAACAACCAACGAACCTAATAAAGAGTTTCATGAGAGAAAGAAATGAACCATACACCAAAGTGTCTTACAATGAGAAAGAAATTATCAATCATTACATTCTCCTAACCTCTTAAATTAAAGTATATAAGAGTGACGAACTGAATACAATTGTGTAGAAAGGATAAGGCACATTGACCTTGAGGAGCACAAGTCAAAATGCATAATTGGCTTAGAAAAATGCTAAAATTTCAGTCAAACAAACACCTCATATGAAAGAGAGTTGTAGAAAAATCAATAGAGCAAAGCCATCAGTAACTAACACCAGACAAAGCAAGGAAACGTGAGGTTGGGCAAACTTGAATACCTAGTTGAGGGTTGGGAGACATTCTTGATATTCTTTATTTCTTTTCTCCAGTTTCATTTGGCAACTTGTGAAGATTTTTAAGTTGTGTGGTTTGGAAAGCTCCCAAAAGGGTAATCCAATGAAGCTAAGGACAGAGAAGTTTGGACAAAGAAACACGGTTTCATCATGAATTTGATCCCAACATCTCCCCTACAACTCGGTCCACCTCTCAAAACTAGTGGCTCTCCCTCTCCTTGACTAAACAATAAAGTTTAGAAATATGAAAAACAAACAAAAAATTGCACACACAAAGTAAATAGTCTTAGGGTAATAATCAGTGAACTAGTCTTGGGGCAAAAAATGGAGCTTCTTTTGTTGTTCCTTCTTCTACAAATATGGAGGAAAACAAGAGAAAATTAAAGGAAAAAGATAGTAAACCTCAAGATAGGGAGAGAGATGATTAGAGGAATACTTCCTTCCTATCAAACCAAACCAACCAAGTTCAAAGATTTTGGATAAAACAACCAAGTTCTTCTTCAAAACAAGGAAAAGAGACCCTACAAGACTCCTTGGTTTACATCTTTGGTAATATTGTCACGTTCTCTCAAATTGTAAGAGATTGTATCTATGTGTAGGGGTATTTTGTTTCACTTAGGCCATGTTTGTTTGGGCGGACTGGATTAGCTTTCTCATGACTAATAGTTCTAAGATTACGAATCCGTTGGATTATGTATCCTATCTTAACTAATAGTCAAGTTTAAAATAATTAATCCGTACTTCAATTGTTTAACCAAATATCGAATTAATAATTTTATTGAACTATTAGTCCAATCCCAAGCTCATGTCTACCCAAACAAACATGGCCTTAGCCTCTTAGATTGTGTGAGAGGTTTTCATACTGACTAGGCATGAGTTTTCCTCTCACATTTTGGAGGTGTTTTGAGTTTTATTGTATATTTATTAAAAAAAAATTATATATAATAAAACACTAACGTATAAATAAATTGAAGGACAACAGTAGCATAAAATCCAAACAAAAATCTTAATTAATGAAGGAAAATGCAAACCATCATTCCAAAGAATCAAAGGGATGTCATTAATCTAGATAGATATACAAAATATATATATATATACAACAATATGTGAAGATACCTTGAAATTGTGTAAAATTGTAACATTTTTGGCATTTTATTTTCTTGGTTAACAAATCATTGGTTGGATTGTCAAGATCATTTTTGAAACAACATCATTTAAGATATAAATATATATAAGGCACGGAAAAGACTTGATAATTACTAATAGCCTATTTAGGGATAATAAACCAACCACCATGATTGGTTGTTATCAATTATCATTTAGTGCTCTCCGTCAAATTATCATCATCATCATATATATATATATATTATTAATTTGGAGAAATTTTTAGCCAAGTGGGTCGAGTAATGGAAGGGATAACACCAAGTTTTTTTTTTTTTTAATGTTTTGATGACCCTTTCTTTCACAATCTGGGGGAACTCAGGTTGTACCTCATTTCAAATAAGATGGAATTTATCCATTTTTAATAGAAAATCACCATTTTCACATAAGAGTATGAAAATAGGACGGCAAGACATTAATTTAGATCAAATTAAGGCATATAGATATTAGAAGATATGTACTGTATATATTGATTTTTTTTTTTATCAACAAAATTATGTATATATATTCATAATTAAAGTCACTTTGTGGCGTGATTAAGTAAAATTAGGTCATATCAAAATTGTTACTACTTCTGCTAAAACTACTTAAAAATCTTATTTACAAATGTTATGGTAACTCATATCTTATTTAAAATTTGTTGAACCAATAAACAGGTTAATTTAGTAACTTTTTGGCTATTTGGCTAAAAAGATAGGTAAAAAAAACTTGTATGTTTAGGATGACTTTTTGGCTAATTACGAAAAAATGTGCAAAAAGTAGAGAGAAAAGAGAATCTTTAACTTTTTGGTATGGATTGTTAGCTTTTTGGCTAATTTAGTAACTTTTTGGCTAATTGGCTAAAAAAATAAGTCCCCAAACGGGTAAAACTGAGAATAATATCAAATTTTTTTTATTTCAATTTTTAAAATTAAGAACATTATGAAGTTTACGCAGTAATGTTCCAGATAATTATTTCACTAACTGATAAAAAAACCGAGCATGAGATTAAACGTTTTTGCTTCCTACTTATTCGTTTGATTCAACTATTCAATAAAACCAAGAACATTAACCGTTTTTAAAACTGAGAACATTATTAGTTTTTTTTTCATTTTTAATTTTTTTTTAGTTTTGCACATCAATGTTCCATCATCTTGCTCCTTTATAAACACAAAATTTTTATTTTTGTACAAAAAAATAATTCATTTTTTTCAAAAAAAAAAAAAATAGTGTGTTTGATTTCAGTTTTTTTAATTCAATTTTTTGACAACTGAGTTTTTTTATTTTTAGTGAATATTTTTAAAATTTTAAGCATTTTCTTTTACTTTTTTAGATACACCTTATTAGATGTACTTAAAAAGTAAAATATTTTTAAAAATTAATAAATACACAAAAATATGAAAAATATACTAAATTTTCATTTTTTAAATATTTTTGGTATTTAGTGATTTTTTTTAAAAAAAATTTACAAAAATTATACTTTTTAAGTGTATTTATATTAGGTGTGTCTAAAAACTAAAAAAAATTGCTTAAAATATTAAAAAAATTCCGTAAAAATAATAAAAAATTATGAAAAATAAGAAAGTAGAATTTTTTGAAAAGTGTTTTCAAAATATTGAAAACAAACATGGTGATTAGGTTTTTTTATTTTTTTGCACATAATTTTTTTTTCTAATTTTTTCAATTTAAAAGTTGATATTTTAAAGTTTTGAAAATCAAAATAAATGTCAAATTATTATGTTCCTTTATAAATAATCATAAATGGTGAACAATCATTATTTGAAAGGCAATTCTGACTATTAAAAATTTAATAGGAGTTGAATGTCTAAAAAAATCTTAATTAGGATTGAATGAAGTATAAGTTTATAAATTAAAATTTGTGTGTAAATGTCGCAAAAAAAATTGTTACTACTTATTTAATGAAGCATACCATACATTACAACATATAAGAGTTTTACAAACCAAATATTTTGGTTTCTAAAAGTAAAAATTTTGTTACAAAACACATTTAGGGACCAATTTCAATCGTTATGAGAATAGTCGCTAAAATATCGTCCAGAAAGTAAATAACAAGGCTTTTAGCGACAAAATTTTGAAAATGTCACTAATAAATAAATTTTTAGGGACAAAATAATTTAGTCTCAAAATAATTTATCTTTTGAGACAAAAAAATTTGGTCCCAAAAGGATAATAAATCATCACTAATGTCCAATTTTTTGTTGCTAAAAATATAATGACGACACTTTTTGTAATAAAATTATTTGGTTCCTAAAAAATAATTTTATCTCTAAATTTTGATACGTAAAATCTTAATTTTGTTGTAATGATATAACTGGCCTTTTAACACTATATTAACAAAAAAATAAAATAAAATTGTATTAGTTGGACATGGACAACTCATCAATCCAACGAACAAAAAGGTACTATAAAGTTGAAGTCATTTTCAAGATTTTGTCTAACAAAAATGCTCCGGACCCCCAATTTAGGCTG